GTGGGGTGGGGGGAGGGGGGAGGAGTAAAAAAAGTACAGCAGTAGAATCTAGGAGGAAAGGGAATTTGGTGAAATAAGCCAGGAGAACATCCGGATATTCAGAATATTCTGCCAGTGTTCACATGTGAGGATCAAATCAGCTCACGACGGGTCGTATATCCTTATAACGAGTTTTCTGTTATGGTAACTGAAAAGAACTCATCAGCATTATTTTGTTATCTACCAGGAGTCTAGACAGTCTAAAACCAGCACATGGTACAGTGAAGCTGCTTATTATAATATTATTTCTCTTCAAAACCTGATTTAGTTTGCTTTCCTCGAGCTAAAATAAAAGCAAGTGCCAGTAGTTTCTCCAGGTATTACAGCGAGAAAGTGTTTACATTTGTTGATATATTAAAAGTCTTAATCCTACTGTTCTTAATATACATTTATAGACTACAGTCATATAACATTTTAAATAACAGGTATTTTTTTTTAATGCAGCTAACCTCTGTTCTGATAGCACAGCTTTTCATGGATTATAAAGTCTTTGAGAACACAGATCTCCATGTAATGCTTCCTAGCTTTACCAGTGAATATAATTTTAATGAAAACATGCCAGCATTAAAGAGCTATTAGACACAGAGTTGAAATTGGCTTTGATTTTGTTCACCAACCAGAGACTACGATGATTAAAAAAATCAATTTTTAAAGGAAAAAGTTAAGTATTCTCTTTACATTAAACTGTCTCGTAGGCATGATTTGGGTTACTTATTTTTAATATTATAAGTATTCTCTTTTATATTTAGTTGGGAACTGATGGCAGACTTCAAGGAGTAAATCTATTTAAGATGTGAGCATGTACATTAACAATCACAAAATTTACTAAAATTAGCATGAAATAACCTATCTGAGGTAACAAAGAAAGATAACCAAACTATCCAAACTTGTACAGCCCTTTCTGTTAATACAATAACTCAATAACAAATATTAAGCTAACGGGTTTTCTATGAAGCAGGGACTTTCTTCTGCACCTCTACACTATATGTATACACCAGAATAACATGACTCCAGTCTACAACTAGGAATCCTATATTCTTTGTCACTTTCAGAGCTCAACTCAAAGGGAAGACATTTTTCCTCATTTTAACTTCACAGCACCTTTCAGCCTTAGCGGAGTACAGAAATATACTTACGTTGGTTTAATGCTCTGGGAATGCTTCTGGTGAATGTAGGCAGCAGCTAGGCCTCCTGCTCCAGAATTTAAGTACTGTAAAGCATAAATCAACATGTACACATTTTGTACTCATCAGTGACATGTAGCTTTCCTTCCCTCACCCTGCCCTATAAAACAGGGAAATTTTAACATTTCTAACAGCTCCTAATTGAAGATCTTAGCATCAATTTTAGCATTTGTCTCAAAAGTGCAGGCCTAGGTAAAAGCAGATTCATTCTTTCAAATTAGTTCTAAAAATTTTTCTTGGCTAATTGAAATGTGATAGACAAAAGTCCATAAAAATTGAAGCTGAAGCAGTCCCATATCACGATATATATAGATACCCCACTAAAGTCATCCAGCTATACCTATCAGCTTCTAATGTCAAAAGAAGTTGACAAAGTTAAAGACACCTTGTTCAACAATCTGAAATTATTTAAGGTTAGACAAGGATATTCTATTTAGGGATCACATATGAAAATCCTGTAGCTGCAAGACCTCCTCCATGTGGGATAGAAGAGGAGAACCTCTTCTGATAACAGTGACCACAGCTCAAAGCATGTGTCAGAGCAGATGTCCCACCACCACCCTAAAATTCATCTGTCAAGAGCCACAAGAGCTTTCAGGTCAAAAAAAAATTGCCAGTATTGACTACTGGAACCACTCATAATGAAACTGCCACTTAAGTCCGTGTCCATCTCCTTCTTGTGGCTGTGTTCCAAACACCAAGAAAAGTTAAAGATTCCTGGGGGAAAATAAGTATATAACAAATCGAACCAGTACTGCTACTCACTTTATAACCAATCCCAGAAAGATACATTGAATAAATCTGTTCTAATTGAATTCCCCGGTTCCTCAGAAGATCAGAAATAAAGAGAGGTTCTTGTATAGCCTCTACTTCTTCTGTCAGCTGAGATTCCAGTAGCAAATGGAATAGAAATGAAAAGACCATCTACAGTCTCAGATAAAGGTTCAAAGGTCTTGATCAGTGATTACCAGTGTGCTGACCCATTATGGATTTGTAATTACGGAAAATATTCTCAAACAATGAATCTATTTTACCTTGTAGGAACACCAGCAGGCAAAATCTACTCCCCAGTCATGCAAATGAAGTTCTATGTTACCAACAGCATGAGCCAGGTCAAATCCTACAAAGCAACCCTGCAGGAAAGAGATATGCAATACATTTCTTAAGATAACCATCACTATGAAGATGATTTTTCAAAAAGCCTCTTCTGAGCTTCATGCACTTGCTTTCTATACAGCCATGCTATCAAGTCCCATCTGTTTTGAGTTATTACCAAAAACAAGTTTATTTACAGTAGATATATTCAAATCATGATTTTTTAATAGGCTCGTCTTCGAGGACATTTGAACATGGTTTAGACCTCTAAGTTTGTTCTTATGGAATAAAGTGGAATAATTTGAAATAAATATTAAGAATGAATAAATTATTTCAAATGCTTGACTTATATGGTAAGCCCTGGATAGAGACTAAAGAGTCATAAAGTACACAGTGATGCTAGTCACACAATAATGAATGCATTCCAAAGACACATTTATACTTGAGATCCCCCTGAATTTATCATTTTGAGGATCTTGCTCTTTGGAAATTGAAACAGGTTGAGAGCGCATCCTATGCGGCACATTGATCTTTCAGGACTTTTATACTCGACCCTAAGAGTTTCAAAAGTATTGTCTCATTTCCTTCATGATAAATAATGTGTTTATTACAGCCACAGTTTGTCTAAGACGCTGAAAAAGAAAAGCATACAACTACAGAGGTACAGATGACAAAGTGGCAGTTTTACACACCAAATAACCACTGGATGGCAGCATTTTTAAACGAAACACTCAAAATTAAGTTCTAAACTATGCTGTTTAAGTGCAGAGAAATAAAACTGCCTTTTGTGTCTGGACTACAAATTAAATGCTGCTTTGCATTTTGCTTTACAAACAAACAGCCTGCTTACAAACAGCATGGTAGGAATAAGAGTGAGAGCACAGCCTTCTACATCCAATAACAAAACAAAGTTTTTTTTTTTTTAGTCTCTTGCTGTTTTTCACGCAAAAGGGAGTCGCGACTAAATTATTCAAATAGTACTTTGGTATATTTAATTTCCTATATAAACTATAACTATTTGAATGAAGCAGCATTTTAAGATGTGACACGCTAATTCTAATGGAGGCATTAACAAAGTTATCAGCTTGAGAAGTCGCTCCGAAATGATGGGAAGAAAACTCACTGCCTCAGCATTTGCACAATATAAACATTTGCTATTAAACAGAACCACGGTCCAAATAAATATTCTTGCCTTCAGACCCACAGCAGCTTGTCTTCACAGGGACACTCAGAAGTAAGTTAAGACAAATCAACTGAAACTGTTAAGTTAGTGCAGAGAGGTTGAAGCATGGTGGATCCCCATGGGAACACTCAGAGATATAATGGCCTTGGTTCAGAGAAATAAGCTATGGCAAACTAAAGCCAATCTGCTGCTGAACAAAAAAGTTTTCTTAGAGGTTTAAGATATTAACTTAACTTTAAAACTTCAGCTGACTGGATTTTAACATTTATGGGTATCCCTTTGTGCATCTGTCCCACGCAAACTTTTTTGGAAGAAGTTCTATCAGAAATCCATTGGCTACAGTGGAAGTCAGGAATACTGTGACATACTGACAGAAAGCATGTGTCTGATGGTACCTTAAGAAAATTTTAAATAAATGGTAGTTGCTCATAAAAAAAGAAAAATTCAGTTCTGTGGTAATTTCTATATCAACTGAGCCTTTTCTACGTCTGTAAGTGAAAAATTGCATAAAAAATGTTTAAACTCAAGGTGACAAATTAAGAAAAAAAACTGTAGATGATTGCCAGCCTGAGAAGTTGAAAGAGGTAGGACAAGACTCCTTGACATACTAGAAAGTGGTACACCCTTGCAAACACAGCACTAGAAAGGGGTGTCATAGCTACATCTATACCTGCAACATAACTGTGCCATGAATGCTCCTGGGCACCAAAACCACCTGGGATAGATTGGCTTGCACCACCATTACTGGTCTCTCCTAGCTCTCCACAGGGTGGCCACCCACCCACTAGGATGTGTTCCTGGAAGGTGGGAGCTGCTCTCCTCTGATGTGAAACTGCTTGGTAACATCTGCTGGGTGCTATTTGAAAGTCCAGGGTTCAGCACCAACAGGTTTCCTACATGACCTTGGAAAAACCCACTCACACCATTTCGCTCAAGTCATTGTCTGCAAAATGGGTGGCGCTGCTTTCCTTTCGCAGGGAGGTGTCTGGCACTCAAGTTGCATGAACAGCAAATGTTTAGCCACACAGATTGCATATAATAAGTAAAACAAACTGAAATGGCTCCTCCTGCACAAGCAGAACAGGGATTGCGTGGGAATGCCGCTTCCCCAAACTATGGGGAAAAAAAACCAAAGCTCTCCATCTGGCTTGGGCAAAGAAGAGGACTTGTGCTCTCCCCTGCCTTTGCCATTTTATTTTAACATCTAAAAGTCATTTCTGCAGCATGTTTGGGTAGCTGCTGATAACCAGCAGGTAACAACTCAGCATGGACAATGACATTTGGAGAGAGGTAGAGAAATGACAGCTTCACACGAGCAAAGCTGGGGCATTTAGACAGAGAGACAGGAAAAGAAATGGAGATGAAGGATCTTAAAGCTCTTCCCACTGGGACTCAAGAGATTAAAATACTTTACATACTGTACAGAGTCAGTTGAAAGCTCGATCTAACTTATGAAAATTGTATTTGAAAGCTAGAGTCTCCTAGAAGTCAGCCATTTCTTCACTTGAAAAGCAGTCAAATGACTCAACCAACCCCCATCCTCTAAAGCAAGCACAAAATATGAGACAAGGAAAACTGTTACATCCTCTTCAGCCTGCTGAGGAGTCTCTGGCACAACACGTAGTAATTTTGATTTATCCGAGAGACCTAAGATGGAAAAATAGCCAGAGGTAATTTTTCAAGCTTAATTTAGTTCATTTAATATTTAATGACTTAATGAAGCTGTCTATGTGCAGAGCTTTCACTCAGAGAAATCTTAACATACACAGAGAACTTAGGAAATTGGCTTAAAAAATGTAAAAGGAAACCAGTAACTTAATTCATAAATGATTAACCTTACGAATCTTAGGACATTTTCCAGACGTCCTGAGCTTGCAGCTCAAATCTCTAGCCAAGCCCTGATAGGGTACAACACTGTAGGATCTTATTTAGACTGTACATTAAAAGAATTATTTAGATCCTCTCAGCAGGACTTTGCTGTACTAGCTGACAAGTTTTTTTTCCTTCCCTTCTCAAATGGCACTTCCACCTTGAATTTTCCCCATCTTAGTTGCTTGCTTGTCAGCTCTTCCAAACCTATTTTTTGTTCAAGAGCATGGGGTCATTCGTTGTCCTTCACCACCAGTAGGGCAAGCCTTGCATTTCTGCTATGAACATGACTTTCTCAGGTTTATCCTCTTTTAATATAGATTTTGAAGGGACTTCAGCATTCCTATGATAATATAATGTCTTGTATGAGACAGTCATTCTAACCTTGCTGGTTTTCACAACTCTAGAAGCTCTTGAAGATGATGCAGCCTTTAAAGCCACATACTTACTATTCTGAAAATTTGAAAGCCTGGAAGCAGAGACTGGACACCACAGAAAAGAAATTAGGCCAGTATGCAGCACTGATAACTAATTCTAGCAGGCAATAAAGCCACATCCACCTAGTGAACTGCTGGATGGCATCTGCATTCACCTTGCATCCATCCGATTAATTCTCCAAAGAGCTGAAATATCTGTATAGCAACCTACACCATCTCCACTGAAGAGCGGCACTGGATCCTAATGTCTCTTAACATTTCCCAAAAGCCCTTATGAAAAAGGAATAGCTACTCACCCGCGGACCATCCAAGACAAATAAATGAAATCATCATATCCTTGCTACACGCTTACTGACTTGTGTAGGGGAGTGTAGGGAAGGGTTGTGCTGGCTGCTATTACTAATCCTCAGCAGGGAGGCAAGGTGCTCCTCACTTCTGGGACAGCTTACTCCAGTAAACAGAGTATAAGGACCTGAGCCATCTCAGCTCTCAAAAGGTTGTGGATGGGAATGTCAGCATTCAGACATAAACTGAGAAATTAAAAAAAATCCTGCTGTTACCCTGCAAACACAGGATCCGTTTGGAAGTACGCCACAAATAACTACTCATGAAATGAAGAGCCAAGAAAAAAAAAATTAACAGGTCAGCTAAAATTTAAAGAGATTGTACCTGTTCCCATTCGCATCTCACTTCTCAAAAAAAAGTTGTGTATTTCTTCACCAGCAATGCTTGCATAATCAAAAATGGTAAGAACGTGTGTGCACCTGAACCATGTTAAATGGCTAAAATAAAAAATAAGACCTATGTTAGCTTTGTCTTCACCTCCTCCCACAACATACACATTTCCTTGTCGTCTTTTCCTATCCACTCTACACTGTGTACATTTCTGCCATCTCATCTCTTCTGTGTTTAGGTTAGCACAGCTACACACAAGTATAAAATGCTACCATCTTCTAAGAGACTTGCGCTACTTTAACCTGGACTGCAACTGCTTCATTTAGCACGTGCCACTGTCAGTTTGTGGTCACCGCTATTGCCTGGTTGTCTCACGGATGAGACAGCAGGTGCTGTCTCTACACCTCCATTTTGCTTCATAGCCTTAAAAATAAAACAAAATAGAATAAACAAAAAAAACCTCACACAATGCTTGAGTAGAAGCATGGCATTTGAGGTTTAACCAGTTTCTAAATTAGAGATAAAAAGGTCTAGATTAAATCAAAACATTCCTATTCAGGCTCATCAGTTAAATAAGTTCAGGTTTCTTGAGCAGGGAAGGCTGTTTCCTTTTCATCACGTTTCCTCCTCCCTATGTGCCTCTGGTCCAGCAGATCCTTTCTGCTCTCCTCTAAGCCAGCAACAGCTCCCAGCATCGGCTCTGCCTGCCAATCGAGGAGAGGAGCCAATCACTTCTGAAGACCGAGCGTCTTCATTTTCAGTAACCAGAAGCCCTGAGACTAGCAGAAGCAGCAAGATGCAGGAAAAACTCTTACTGCTATTAACACAGCAAACTCTTCATGAATTGCTGATTTAATAGCTATTCAAGTAAATATTTGCAATATGCAGATGTTTAAGCATGCTATAACTGTGTGTTACATAGTGGCTTTGTGCAAACATCTAAACATCACTTAACCCAGAGAGCAGAATCCGTAAAGACATTGAAATGTGTGTAACTGACAGGAGGAGAACAACCGGGCTGGCTCAAACTTTTAAAATTTCCTCAGTATCCAAGTAGTTCTTTAGGGTTTTTTTTTGTTTTTTTGTTTTTTTTAAATACGCATGTGATAATTCAGTTCAGGAATCCACCTGTATCACAGTCCTAAGCACTCTAACTGCAACAGGGTGGTAATTTCTTAATTTTTTATATATATATAAAAAATAAATTTATATATGCATATATATTTTTTTGAAATCTCTGGAAGAGATCACTGTGAGAGATGGACAATGAGGACATAGGTGAGACATGAGGACGAAGCACCACCTCGTAAGTCATGTTCAGATTCTTATGCAGAGTCAATTCTCTGGTGTCTACAGCCTTATCTCAGGAAGAGTTTAAGCTTTCTCTGCCAAGTTCTGGTTATCTTAGAAAATATAAACATCAAACCCATTTTTGCTCTGTATAATGAACTATTGGTAACTATTTCTCCTCTGAGAGACAGATTCTCTGTCAGTTTGGGGTAGTTTAACTTTCAGAGAAACTGCAGAGCTTTCAGTTGGCTGAGCATGTGGCCCAGGGTTTGGAGAGCATCTTTAGGGAGGCGTTGAAGTGATAGGTTTTTTCCCAGGTTGTTCATATTTACAGTATGAGGAGAAAGATTTCTCTCCCAGACACCTTTCAGACACATCATCGAGCGAGCAGATTTTGGAGAGGCAGCCTAGTACGTGTGTAGGCGTTGGCTGGGGAACGAAAGCTTTGCTGCCACCAGGAACGAGGATAAGCGCAGAGCTGGGTGGCATCGTCCTATTAATAGACTCCCTTCCTTCTCAACAAACTTTTCAGCATAGCCTTTTGATTGACTATTGTTGGAAAAGGACTGGAAGACCCTCGAGGAAGGCACTACGAAGGTGTCATTTTTAGAGCTACATAGAGCTAGTATATACATAGACCCCAGTTTCCCCCCTTAGCTGATTTCGCTCAGTTCCTCCTGGATTTCTGCATCTGCCACAGGAGTCAGTCTTGTTTTGTACTTTACTCAAGATCAATTTTGTTGCTGGGTGCTGCTCAGCAAGAACATGCACTTTTATAATCTGCAGGCTGTGCATTAACTCTTGCACCTGCTCTGGTCTCCCAAGGGAGACTTTACCTTCACTTTACACCAGCATAAGTGACTCCCTGACCTCCAGAAAAATGTTCCCCTGCCAGTCTTACAACAACTGCAGATGTATGTCCTGATGTGAGTCAGGAACCTCTCCAGAGACAGTAAACACCAAATACAAATAGCTGTTTTGCAGAAATCCAGTAATGCTAAGTAGGTTTATTCTTGAGTGGCTTAATCTTAGATGAGATGAGGTATAGCCAATAAAAGATTGCCCACACAGAAAGCCTGGTGACCTCGCGTTGGTAAGATAACTTGATTAAAAGCTATTTTCTCAATTCCTGAGGCAATCAAGATGGTTAAAGAAGTTTTACAGGTATGTCCACAGAGTAAAGACTCTCGCACACTGGCTGCAAGTTCCTACAGCTGAGTCATCACTAAAACATAGTCATCTTGTGAAGCTGATGTACTCCACGTTGTGCCTGTCTCTGGAAAAACTGATCAGCTGAGTCGGAGTGCTGCTGGCTCTGCGGGGAGCTCACCTGCCCCGCTGGCTGGAGGCAAAGAGCTGCGATAGCAGCTGCCAGCGACGGGGTGGGAAAAGAGGAACAGCATGAAAGTCTGTTGAAAAGCAGAAATCTGAGAAGTCTGACACAAGCTACTCTAACCTTTAAAGAGAGTCTGGAGCTATGATTACCACCTTCTCCTTCACTGAACCTCTTGAAATTCTATTCTTAAAGGATAGCTCAGTAGAAGGTTAATAGTCATGAATAATTTCTCTATATACTTTAGGTCACACCTTTAGGATGACTATCACAGGGATATTTTTTCACGACAGCCCTCATTCCTCTAAGGATCTGCAGAGAGAATGTTTTCTTTTAGCAGAGCCCCGCAGGTCTCCATGGGTGCCCTGCTCCGTTTCACAAAAAGTGGAAATTAAAAATATTCCCCAACGAAAATTGATCTAAAATTGGTGTTAGGACAGTTTTAGAGCATTTCTACCTTTTCTTGGCCGGCCTTTGTTATTCGGGGGATATCAAACAGCTGTCCTGTGTAGTATTGCACTCCACTGAACAGAATTACAGCAATAGAGTCCCCTTCTTTCTCAATTAAAGCAAGGATATCTTCTGTTCTCAAGGTCTCCTCCCCCTAAAACAAAGTTAAAGCACACATTTTACATCAGCTCTGGCAGTAATGAAACTGTCGTTTCTTATTTCATAATCTATATTTTACCATGAGCTGTGCTGCTTGCATAAGGAGATCAAAAGCAAATCCTTAGCATGGTAATGATATACAAAGGTAGTGCCATGAAGTAGCCTATGAGTAGGTTACTTGGTTAAAAAAAAAAAAAAAAAACCACGTTAACAAACTTATCTTGAAGGTGCCAGTCTTAAAAAGTCTATTCACTTTGTATTCTATCATGCTTCACACTCTTTAATATTTCAGACAGTTTTAATTTACAGTATTAAAAAAATTCTGGTGCAAACAGCATATATAATGATTTCTGTGACATCTGAAATTTGTGACACCCACAAGGCTTAAAAGTTGTCTCAGCTTCACTCTGTACTTTTCTGATAAACTTCATATCCCACAGGAAGCTATTATAAATCTGCTGTATTTATATTTCAAAAACAATACGCCTCACATCATCAAAAGTACAAAAATCCCCAAACCTGGGGTCATTAAATATAGAGGAATTTCAACTAAAAAAAGTCTCACTCTTGGTTCTTTATAGGAAAATTACTGCCCCATCCTCCTCTCGTCTTCCTAGCAAGGGATCATGTAAAACATACCACCAGCTAGGGATCAATTAGGGCATGAAAAAACTGGAATTAAATTAGACTTGTTACTGAAAAGAGCTTGGGTAAGATTGTTGAATTGAAAGTAACTATTATCTCAACAATCTTTGCAAATCTATCAAGCATTCAGGAGTAGGCTCTTTGCTCACAAGATGACTCAGATTTCAGAAACAAAAGGTCACTATCAGTTTATAGTTAGGTGGCAAAGTTCTCAATACCGTGAAAGTGAAGCAAGGCAATCTTTCAAATGCGTCTGAATTGCATATTACTCAGAGCAGACCTTTCCCTTGGTCCGTGCTGATAAAGATACAATGGTGTTCTCGCCGAGGCAATTTTTTATGTTAGGACACTAAAAGGACATTGGGGCTTCTGAATGAACCAATGGACTGCCCTGTTTTGCCCTTCTCTTAGGATGCTGTCTGCTATTGCAAACAGGAAAAATAGGGAAAAACAACATTTTTTTGTTCCTTTAGGGCAAACATGCTAGTTGAACCAGACAATTATAAAACGGGTTCTAATATCAAAGAATATATAAACAGTATACACAATGCATAAAATCTAACTGAAAGCATTAGAAGAAATACAGATAACTTATGCAGGCAGACACTGGAATATTTGAGAGCGTATGACCACGCTCATACAAAGCACACATCCACCGTTAGAATTAGCAAGGAGAGCTGATTTATATTTCTCACCAACCTCCCGTGGCCGTATCATGAGCATGCACTTCTCCACATCAAGCCCATGAAGTCGAAGCTGGGATTCAACAGCATACTGCAAGAGATTTCCACATACTGCACGTCAGCACGATCAAACGATAAAACAAAAAGAAAAACGGACAAGCACATCACAGCTTCAGAAAAGGGACTCAGATGCCTGACTTTCATTAAAATTAACACTTGAAATCCTAATCCAACTCAATGGAAAAGGTGCTAAGTTTGCTCTGGTTTGGAAAAGATTAGCATTTAATTCACATCATCAGACAGAAAGGATAAAGTCAAAGTCTATATTCTACGGGATAAGTTTTACAGAGCAGAATGAGGGTGGAAATATGGTAGAGGCATGCGCTTTACTCCATGCCAGCCAGCAAAGCTAGCATAGATAACGGCCCATGAGAAGACAGAGCAGCACAGCCTATAGCTCGTGCTGGTTAACTGACTATAGGCTGGTGAACCAAACATTTTGCTTCCTAGCACATGCTAAATCCCAGGCTGTCATATGCACTGCTGTCAGCGTAGAGGAGATTTGGCTAGCACGCATATGCTGGCCCGTGCTATCCTCCCATCTTACACTGGCTGCACAGCTGGGGGGAAATGAGTGCGCTAAACTCTCAGCCCATTTTGAAAACCTTACCCACTGATTTAATCAATCAATAGTGCTTGGGAGGTAGCATAAAAATGATCAAATAATGCTATAAAATAGTTTAAAATTACGTGACAGGGACTGAAGTGACTGCAGTTGCACAGGATGTTACTGAGGTATCGCAGTAATTTAAATAGATGGATTCCAAATGCACAAGTGCACTTGGAACAAATGTGGCATTAGGACAAACATTGCTTAGAATAAAGGCAATTTGCATTTTATACATCTGTGCCGCCATCTTCATTACAAATAAACCTGTTAGTAGTTTGAGTCATTTTTATTGCACCTTAGAGATCAAATTTCTTATCAATTTCCAGGAGTTTACTGAGTTGATGATAAAGTAGCAGCGGGCCACAAACCAAAAGATTAATTTGCTCTAAGCTCTGATGCACGGGCTATTGTCTCCTATTTTATAGCACACAAATTATGTTTGAACTAGTAATCTAAAGTGCTAAGAACAAACATTTCCATCTCTGTCTAGGGATATATAAGTGTTAATGTTGTGAGTTTGTATTGATTTGGTTTCATAAAGTAAAACAGCAACAAGAATTAATATAACATTTACAACTTCAGTTGATTTAGGCCAGTAGTTTGCTCAATGTCTTTAAAAAGACTAATAAATCAATGTACCCATTCAATCTTTTCCTCTTGTAACATTTTTTTATTTGAACAAAAGGAATAAAACTACGATCTGTAAAATATGCTGAGCTCAAAAGCTTCTGACAGATTTTTTTATTGTAATGTTACTTGGACAAGATGAGCTAATAAATATTCAAATCAGCCTACTGATATCCTTTGGAAAAATATGATTAATAATACAAATATGGTGAAATATTAATTTCTTACATGGTCAGAGGGAAAGGCTTTGGCTTCTAGAAGAATTTTATAGCGTCTTGGTGTAGGCTTAAAAAAAGATAGCTGTTAAGAACAAAAAAAATATGTTAAAACACATCTAAGCAGAGGCAAGAAAGAGATGCTTCCACTATATAACTTGGTAAAGACTATTTTACTTTTACACAGGCTGCATCAGAGAACCCCCCAGGAATTACAAATATTTCTCTACCTATATAACATTTATCAAAGTAGGAAAGCACTACAATGCTTTATTTTGTAGACTTGTAACAGAGGCCACAAAAATCTAACAGTGAAAATTTGCACTTAGCGTGATCAACAGCGAAGCTTTGACTGAAGCCAGGGAAGCCGGGACTTCACCCAGCTGCATCTTGCAAGTAAAATCAGCTGCAGAACAGCAGCAGAGGAACCAAATTCCTATTTCCTGCTTTAAACATCAATTACCAAATCGTTCCTCCCGCCTCTGAAACAACCCTGACCAAAGCACTAAGCCTTCTGCAAGGGTCTCGCTCTCATCCATTGCTATGCTTGCAAGTTTTCCTGCTAAGGTCCTACAGTGAAGAGTTGGGCTTGACACCAAGCCCAGAGGATTCAGGAGGCCGAAGAGCCCGACTGCTCAGCCGTTCAGGGCAGGTGAACTAACACCACCGAGCAGCCAGGTAAATTATCTTGTACTCGGCCCCAGCCTGCCTGGCTTCAGGTTTCTTAGTTTCATAAAAACAGTAAAAGACATGCTACAGAGGATTACGTCTGAGAATCTTTTTGTGTGATCCATTGGCCTCACATCTTCACTTGGTGGGACAAAGTCTTTAGTAATACCAGAGAAGCAGAGACAGACTATACACAATGCCTACTGAGCCGCTCGTCATGAAACCGCACCTACGGCCAGTATTTCATAAAAGCGACAAACTGATGCTTTACCAGATTTCAGGGATATATAAACAGCGTGACTAGATAACGTCCATCTCTTATGTATGCTAAATTTGATAGAATTACAGCTCTCCTTGCTTACAGATGAGACCCATTTCTTGACTGAGATTCGAAGAGGAACGTTGAGTAGCTATTTGGAAACGCATCTTAAATCATAAGCTATCCTCTCCAAGGACTGACGTACGCCGTGTGCGAGAACAGCTCAGAACCTCCCCTGCACCACCTTCAAAAACATTTCTCTGTCCAGCTTTTGTGCTTAATATTAAGCCGAGCTGGGTCTTGCACAAGCCAAAACTTAGTTCAGAGTCCCCTGCCAGATACAAATCCCAAAACTTAAGAAAAGTTAGGTTATTGTCCCATGCTGCCATCCGAGAGGTCCCCACAAAATGTTTTGCTTATGTTTACAAATAAACGAAGACAATATTTGTCAAAACACCATCACAAATATTGTAAAGACATACCAGCAGGAGGTGCAGATTAACAGTTAGCCCGTTCATTAAGGCTACTTCCTGTCTTTGGGCCCCTGAAAAGTAAAAATATACTGGTTGGGACTATTCCTTTACAATTTCAAAGAAATCCAACACGACACTCGGAAAGCAAAAGTATGCTTTCAGTCAATATCTCTTTAAAGGCTAGAAAGTAAACAAATGCTTGAGGTGTCATCAGTGAAGTAGAAAGATTTCTTGTCTGACTCACGACACCACGCTGGCAGAAAAATATTTATTTTTTCAGGTCAGCTGCAGAAAACAAACAAACAAAAGAGATGAAGTATTTCCATTTACCAGCAAGCCACTAGTGGATTTATTGTCATTAATACCTCAGACAAAATCAGGTCATAAGTCTATACGTACAGCAAGACTTACAAACTTATTTTTGTCACAAGTTTACATGTAAAGCAAATATAAAAATTTATTAGGGCAATCATCTATGGCAAGCGGTTACTGTAGCGTCAAGCTAAATCTCACCCCTAACAAAAAGCAAACAAAAAGGACCTACTGGATGCAGTAGACCACTATTAATGTACCAGCTTGATAAGAAGCCATATGCATAGCCTTAAGGATGCAAATAACAGATGCATTTTGCTACAGATAATCACAGACAGAGCTAATGGAGTAACAACCAGTTGTTGTTAAGTGTTTAGTAACGAATTCTAAAACCCTTATCAACCACTGGTGAAAGGGTTTAGGCAGGATGAGGGACTGCACATTAGGCAAGGCACCAAGATATGGAGAAAAATCAATTCCTATTCCTTTTTGTTTCTTTCCTGATGTCCGTTGCTGAAAAGCATTAATCCACCCTTGACACAAATCAGCGTTTTGAGAATGCTCATCTGAAAGAGGACAGCCTTGGTGGTATTGCCTAGTCGTCTCGACAAGGTGCAGTTTGCCAAAGGAGGCAGGAGGGTACAAACACAGAGTGGAGAGAGCGATGGATGAAGAGATGGGTGAACAGGCAGAGGGCCGCAGTCACTGATGGGTGGAGAAAAAGAGGAAAGGAGAACATAACATTGGGGCAAAAAAGGGGAAATGGAGCAGCAAGGACTGTTGAGTCCTACCCCTGCTGAGGACACCAGGCCCCAGCCCCTGTAGAAGAGGCACCAAGAACACCAATACCTTCCTACCATGTCCCCCAGTATTTCGCTTCATGAAGTTTTTACTTCATCAGTTTAGGAAAGGGTCATTGGATTGACCTTAATACATAGCCAAAGCATAGCCAAACATGGAAATTTATAAATAAGCATATTTTTTCATAAGCCCTCTTTCTAAGGAGTCCCACGTTGAGCAAGCCTCAACCCCTGCCACCACAGCAAAAGCTAAGACATTCAGTGGCCCTTTTTTGTGGTGCAGAAATCCAAGCATCAGACAGAAAAATGTGCCATTAGCTTTCAGTAAGTCAGCAGGCCCTGCCCAGGAGATGTGTCAGACAGAAGGAAGTCCTGAGTAATTTCCCTACTCCAGACACTGGGAATATCAAGTTTGCAGGAAGAAAAAAAAGTCAACCTAGTTTTCCCTAAGGAAGAATTCCCTTCCCCCCCCAACCCTCACTTAAGCTGCTCTCCTTCTTTCTTTTCTTCCCTCTGATAGCATTGCATCTGCAGGCTCCGTGCTGCTGGGAGAGGTCACCTTGTGGCTGTTCTATTGCAGATACAAAAGAGAGAGCTAGAGAGCAATTGCAGCTCAAAACGACATTATTTGCAGACTTAATATTTATATGGGATTCTTGAGGTTGGGAAAAAAAAAAAAGGGGGGCCAGCACCAAGAAACAGTGTTAGCATTTCTCCCTCTGCTCCTTCCACAGAGCCTGTGGCTTTTGCAGGGATTTCTGCGCGAGCAAGTCTGCCTGCTGTGCTATCCGCGTGCAAAACAAACGGTTAATCTCTAGATCACTTTTAGCTGCACGCTAGCAACCCAAATTAAATATGACACTACATTTATCATGTAAGTCTTGGTCCTCTGTAAATTATATATTTATTAAAAGCTTTCCATTATCGAATTTCATGCCCACAAAACAAACTTCATCCGTGTCATTGGAAAACTGTTATCCTTTATAACCTGCACTGTGTTTCAGAAAACAACCTTTCTATGATCCAATTAACCTATTACAATATTCAGAGACCCAGCACACAGAAGATAAAATTATGTTTGCTTTCTTTATTTCCTAACTTTATACCATATCTCCAAGACAGGCTAAAACCCATATGTTCCGTTTGATAAATCTCCTCTTTAATAAAGGGAAGCAGCGTTTGCAAAGCACAAGTTCAGAGACGATCATGATTGCATTAGGCAGACGCTGCCGTCCTTTTCCTCTCCGCCTGCAACAGGAGCCTGATCCGCACCAGGAGGAATGAAAAACCATTAAAATAGGAAAAAAAAAAAAAGCCAAAGGGCCCCAATTCCAAAGGTAGTTTGGCTATTGCGAATAATCCTTACTCCAAGTCGCTGCAAACCTGCTCAGCGCTCCGTCTCGCCTCAGCAGAGACCTGCCCGAGCGCCTTGCACGGCAGCAGCCACGCGGTTAGCGCGACTCCCGCGGAAGGTGATCCTGCCAAGGTTGTCATGTTTCAACGAAGTCTGGCAGGAGAAGCCGAGATCACCGTCGCCCCGGCACGCCACTTGGCGCGAGCGCGGAAAAGAGAAAGCTGCAGCCTCTACTGACCTTGGCTCTGCGTTTCACAGTGTATTTACTGCCCTAACTTTCACTGAACAAGACAATGTGACCGCGTTTAATAAGCAAGGTGTTAAGCAAGCATAAACCATTAAATGGGCAAAGGTATTTTACAGTTTTTACTCCAGCCCTGAATGAATCTCCCTAAATAACAGTCACTTAATACTCAGAGTGAGAAATGCTAACTCCTCCTATTCCATATATGTTAAATATGGAATAAAAAGTAAAATTGTTTATATTCTTGCATTAAACTCAAAAGAAATTCAGAATCCACTATTGACTCATAATAATATACTTGCTATTAACGTGTTACTGCTGGAAGAGAGTGCTTAATTGTAAATACTGCATTGGAAGAAGGGATTTTAAATTATCATAACATCTTTTCCTGCATTTATTCTCTTTGCTTTTTCACTGTTACATAAAATCAGTACTTATTATGAAGCTATAGCCAGCACAGACGTCTAACACATCCATTTTTGGAAGATATTAAATTATTCACATGCAAAGAAATGCTCGCACAGGTACTGAAAACAAGGTATGTATAAAAATATATATAAATAAAATTGCACTGATTTGTGAATCTGAAGGCCCAAGCCACATTTTTTAGTTCAATTAAACTACTGAAAAAAATCCAGGAGAATGAAATCCAGAAGGATAGTGTTAACTTTTGCCTTTACTAATGAGGAAAACAGGACTACAAAATACCTCCCCAGTGGCGAATGTTTTTTTTGTTTTTTGTTTAAGTACATTAACAGCAGAGTATGTCATTAAGCCTCAGTCATGACAGTTTATTAAAATAACTCCTTTTAAACGTGTGTCACTGATTAACATGAACAGAGTTGTAAAATGCAGTATGGTCTGACCATCTTAGTTAAAAGGAAAAGAAAAAGCAAGCTTTGTATGGGGGTTGAAAGGGAAAGGAAAAATAGGGAGCCTGGCTGCTAAGAAATCAGATGAAGTTTATGCAAACATCTGATTTTCTTCTCCTGGAGCTTCGATTTTTTTTTAGTTAAACAAATATTGTAAAACACACTGAGCTGACAGCCGCTGCAAGAGATGGTTAAGGAGGGGGCAAAAAAAAAACCTCAACTCCTTGCTTTCTGCAGCAGCTCTTAACCTAAAGCTTGAGATCAAACCCACCCGACACCAGCACTGGCAGGAGGTCAGCGCAGCAGCCGCGGGCGCTGCTGCCCCAGGCCAGCACAGACCACGTAACCTCCGCGACACCTCCTGTAGGGCTGCAGTCCCCACGGGAGGTCACAGCAATGGAAATTTAGAGAATTAGCCCTTGAGGAGTCTCAAATCTCCGCTGGTTATGTGGGGAGCATCAAGAGTCTACCCGGTTACTTTGCAAATTTAAATACCTCGAGGTAGGTAGCCTGACTGCTCCCCGCTCTCAGCCCAGCACAGAGCCGAGATAAATCCTCCACCCTCCAGTTAAAGTTCCAGGTTTGCAATTTTAAAGCCAGCCCTTAGTATGCCGTTGTGCTAGTCGCGCGGCAGGTCGTGTTTCTCCGCCTGCTGGCAGCTGCCCCGTCATACCTGAACCAGAGCTCCGGCTTGCCGAAGGGATGAGGCAAACCAAGAAATCACTAATTCAGCTGCATTTAGAGACAATTTCAACCCACTGTATTTCTCACACTTTAATATATCATGATAGCTAATAGATAAGCATACTATGTTTGCCTTTCAGCATCCAGAAAAAAGTCATTTCTTAAACTCCCGAGCAGTACCAGGTACTACAGCAATGAGTACCAAAGCCAGGTTTTAGGGATTAGTGCCTGTGAACAGGATATCTCTACACAGCACAATGATGCTAAGGGACACACACATTGGACTTTGACGTTAGCTTAGTACTTACATTACAGAAACATATAACATTATCATTGGAGCACAAAAAATCTAGAAAAATTTCCAACATTTTAGCTGTCTAGAAGCTTCATGAAGAAGTCAGGAAGTTTGCATGTTTCCTTTATTTACTTTAGGAGTTAAATAAACATAAATCAGCCTGTCAGGAAGCATTCCTTAATGTCTCCCTTTCCTCTTGTTCAGAGCCCACTTACTCCTCCTGAAGGAGGAGAGTCATAACTTGCTCTTTGTGCATTTGTCTATAATTGGAGGAGAAATTACATGAGACTATCTAGCATATGCTAGGTCATCCTAACCATAATGTCTTTGTTAGTGGCAACACAAATGAACCCATGATAACTCAGGTTCAGACAGTCAATATTGACAGTTACCTTCAACAGCTAAATTGAAATACTGGCTAAATCTGACTAAAATCTGCTAACCTAGCCTTGACAACAGCTGTAAGGATTGCGGAGAAATATGGTCTGAGAGAGACTGCGCCAACATCATTTCTCTTCCCCTTTCCGACAGCAACATATCCAAAAGAAATCACAGTGAAAGATTATTTCAGCAACCACAGGGAAGACAGAGCAGGAGGCAATGGAGGAAATTTGCATTCAGATGCAGATGACTGCTTTTGGGGCTGGCAAACTCACCAGGAGGAGTCTCCAGGGCTACTTTTCAATCTCTGGAATAACCAAATGCATTTGCTGTCAGTGTCCTTCAGCACTGCCAGTTCCTCAAGGAGTACAGCGGGGTAACGGGGACTTACAAATAGCAGGTCCTGCCCCAATTATCTGCTTCGTTGACATAAGCAGTTCTCAGATATGAAGCTGGATTTAGTGACAGGGAAAAGAGGAAAAAAGCAGAAAGCGTCTAGATAGAAGTCATTTTTCAAAAGGGAAAGTTCATTGGCTCACTTTTAGGAAAGAGACAGACTCTCTGATGCCAGCTGCCCTTTAAAAGGGCTTCTCATGTTAGACCAAGTGGTTTATGATGCTCCAAGAAACCCTTTGCTGCAATTAGTTTCATGATATGCATATGCTCGTATATTACTGCCTACATTTCTCTCTCACACCGCTTACAGCCTTAAAACAAAGTTTTACTCCATGTAGCAGGCAGTCAGGAAAAAGTACTTTAAAACTGAAGAATGCAGGGAACTAAATTCTGGATACAGAGTTTCAGGACTTCCAGCCCCAGAGGAAAACAAGCCCGTTGGTGTTTCTAGGGCAGCGTTGTCCCTGCACACCTACCCACAAGCTCAGCCATTAGCTCCACGATGCACTCGTCCGCCAAAGCCCATGGGCGCTGACCGTTGAAATGGCCATGAACGCCTCTAAAAAAGAAAAAAACAGAAGACGAAAATGTACACTACTCTTTGGATCAGTCCTAAGAAACATAGCCGATTCAGCAGTCCAACATCAGGAGAAGGAAAAGGGAGGGAGACTCGCATAATCTGAGCAGATTTTTATTATAACTGCGAAGCTCACAACAAACGGGAAGCATGATTCCTTAGTTGGGAATTGATTGAAAACTACCTAAGCCAAGCTTTAAGCCCCCCCCCCCCAATTTCCTTGGGAATGTTGCAGTCCATACAGTGGCTCTCATCAGCACCCTAAACCTGACAGCTTCACTACTCTAAAGTGACAGATATGCACACTCAGTTCTGGACTAAGTGCCTTGAATTCATTTTTGCTTCAAATAAGACAAAACCAAACTTAACATAGCCGTGCTGCATATATAAATAAAAACACTGCAAAGTTTATTAAGCACACAGGCAGAATACAGATTTAAATGCAAACAAACACAGGTTGAGAAAAATAACGGTGCTAATCCAGGGTAGCTTTGCTCTGGGCTTCCACCTCGCAGTGTAGGACTTTCATATTTGCTGAGCACCACAGGTTACTTGGGCAGTCTGAAATGCCAGGCTGCATATGGTAGAAAGCTGCTTCAGAACAGGGACTAAGGCAGCAGGAAGCTGGGCAGAGAGCAAAAGGCAAAACAATAAAAAGAACAAAAAAATTGAAGCTGCAATGAAAGGGGGAAAGAACAATAAGCCTTTAAAGGAAGAACAGGCCTACAACATTGACTCCAGTTCACGAGAGGACTTCTGGCAGACTAAGACATGAGAAAACGGTATAGGAGGCAGCCACCAGCTTTGGAGAGTCCCCCATGCTTAAGCTTATTTGAAAGACTGTTTCTCCTATCCACCTCAGACTTTCCCTTCTCAGGCAGAGTTTTGTTCCATCATGCCTGCCTCCCACAGAAATTAGATGGATGTTTTCAGGCAGACCCTTTCTGATTGACTTGAGTCTAACACGGGCCTCCCAGGGATATTTCAGTAAATAAAAATTTAAAAAAAAAAAATCAATCCTAAAGTAAAGAAGAAACACTACAAAAAGTACAATTTACATTAACCATCTAATTCATTCCTTTCATGCCTGGAAAATACCATTTCTTTTCACACTGGTTACTGTTTAGGCCAACAGCTGAAGGAAGGCACACAGGTAGAGCTGACCATCTGCCCTATAGGTAAGATACAACCCTTACATATTGAGTGAATCTAACACTGGCAATGACAAGGACCCCCATCCTTAAGTTAGATAAGGTCACAGCACACTAGATGACATCTTCTCTCAGTTTCAGAATGACCTGCAAATGAGATCGTAATAGCGGAAAGCAAGCAGTGTGAAAAAACACTCATACAAGAACATTTTTCAGATGAGGAATAAAGGCAGTAGCTTTTAGGGAAAGGAAAAAAATCATAAGGGGCAGGATTAGTACTAACAGTTTCTGCCTTCTCCTATCAGGACACAACACAGCTCCTTTCCCTGAAGATGACAGCGGTATACGTTTCACAAGCAGCAAGACATTGCTGCTAATTTCCCTTCTTAACTGTAATATAGTGTTCAAGGGAGTTTGGGGCAATATAGACTGTTGAAAGAAAGACAAACTTTTCAGTGGCTCCCAGCCCAAAGGGATCTGCATTTCTGAAACAGGATATAGACATAATAAGATGCAAAAAAGAAGCCTTAACTACCTATGGGATTCTCTTTCATTAGCTTTTTCTGATTTTATAGCCATTAGTGTCCTTCTAATGGGAATTTACTGATGAGAGCTCTCCATACCAGCACACAAGACTAAAAATTTCAGAATAAATTTCCGAGTTGTCATGAAAACTGATATGAGATTTCAGGCAAGAGAATATTTTACTTTAAGAAAACATGAAAGTTTAAGTATACTTAAAGATGGAAGAGGAAGTATTAATTATTATTCCTATTATTATTATTATGGCACAGCTTACAGCTTGCCTCCCTCTTGATGGCCAATATAAACGTCAAGAGACAAAAATTATTGCTGCTAAAATGGTAGTTAAAGGCATAGTCGTGGATCCTTTTTTTTATTTTAATCACATGAAACTCTGTAGCCTTTGCTGATGGCACAATACATCCTATTACACTTAGGTTGTAAAATTCTATGCTCTGCCTCAGAGAATTTATATCTCTGTATATTATGGCACCCCCCTCTCAGCTCTGGTAGACACTGGGGGTAATATTCTTTAAGGACACAACAGCAATGTTTCTGGCACTCCACTAAGACAACCTGAGACATGGGTATCTGACTCCTTTTGTTTCCACTGCACCCTAGGTAGGAGAGATTTAAATTGAGGTACCCAAATTAGCAAATACAAAACATGGTCCATCAAACCATAAAGCACCATACAAACAGAACTATTTTAAAACTACTGTGAGAGTCTCTCATTGTGCAAATTAATTTTTCGTCAGTTACCATTTTATTTTCAATTTGGCAAGAAATCAGAAGGCCACATTTTATGTGCTGAAGGTCTAGCTGATTTAAAGCTCACTAGGGGAGCTAGAAACACATTTTCTGATATGATCCCAGGGTTTCAAAGGAGATAACAAAAGGGATTTAAATTAACTGCCAGCTTCAGGAATCTTCTGTGCTCATCCAAATCTTGTTCAAGTGGAAATTTCCTTCTTGCTTCTCTGCCAAAGATGATGCAAGCTATTTAATGAGCCAATGCAGACTAACTTTGATTATGGTTCCAAGCAAAGAAATAACCAAAAGAAAGGAAGACATATTCAAGGAGAACTGTATGGAGTAGTAGGATGAAGGTAAAACTAAAATAAAAATCAGGGCATTAGAACAGGCATTTGCAGCTCTAAAGTTTAACCTGCCGGAAAAGGTTGAATGAAGAGAAGAGACTTGCAAAATGGAAGGAGAAGTGGGTTTGTCAGGCAGAATTGACTGAGCCCTGCTGAGCTGCACTCCTGTTTGAAGGGCTGTTATATCCTCCAGGATTAGTTAGACACGTACAACCAAAGATACCTTTTGACTCTCTGAAAATAATCCTTAGCTATTTCAGGTGTTAACTTATCTTGTCAAAGACTTGGACTTTTTGTCTACCACACTTGTATCAGAAGGTTGTTGCAAGACTACACCACTTTAATGCTAAAAAATGTACAATTTGTCTAATTTCTGGCCTAAATTTATTAATTCCCTGTTTATATTTACTATGCCAATATGTTATTTCACATAACTGATTCCTTTTTTCTCCTTATTTAACAGCAATGCTTCTGTTACCCATAGCAGAAGCACCCATAACACATTCATATAGAACAATTTTTTCCTTTCAGTCTTCATTTTGTTACACTAAACTCCTCTAATCCTCAAGACCTGCATGTAAGAGGTTCTCTACCCCTGATCCCCCTACTAGCCCTTTGCTAGAATGTGACCAGGTCATAGCAGATTCCTTTCTGTTTTAATAGTTCCATTTTAATAACTTAGTAGACACGAGAGATGTCGCTCACTGCAGACCATATGTTTCCATATAATAAAGTTTTTATAAAATATATTAATTGCATAAACAGCTCTGGCAGGGAAAGACACATTGCAGAATATCTATTGGCCTTATGCAACCACACAAGTCACTTGAACCTCAGTCTTCTACATTTCTTACAACTGGTCTGTTGGCTACTCTAGGTCATGCATGGAGGAGACATCTCCATCTCTCCCTTTAACTTCAAGATTTATTGAATTTAACTCTAATCCAACCAATCCCCAAAAGAGGTGAGAAAAAAAGACTCAAATGCTTTTTGATCTACAGTAAGAATGCTAATAGATTGTATAAAGACTGCAAATTCATCAACACAAATAAGAGCAATCAGGAGCATGGAAAGAAATGAATATAAAAAGGGAGTAGATATGGGGGAGGCAGAGCTAATGGAAGAAAAATAACCCCCCATTTAAAGGGGAAAAACTGGAAGAGAACACAATACAAAGAAAATGCAGGGAAAGGCCTCTTCCTCTCTAGGCCTTACTCTAATGAGTTACTGCAGTCACCACACAGAGCTAAAGATTTGTGCTTCCTTGCCCTTGACAATAGATACTGGGTAATCTTCCTTCTCATTCTTGCCTATCAGCTATAAGGAGCAAAAACAGTTTAAATTGACAAGTCTAGCAGGTATTTGAGACAAGTCCCAAGACACAACAAACGGAAAATATAACAAACCAATTTATAAGAGAGCCAGAATCTATATCATTGCTGACTTGAAAGATGTATCTAATTTGTATGCCATTTCTTAGATTCTTGATATTTATTTTCCTAAGCCACCGCCACTAAGTTCCATGCTGCCAGCACATGAGCCACTGAACAGGCTTTAGCTAATAAGAGCAATTACCTTCGACTGGATTTTGCTTGGCTGTCCTTGGTGACCGAAATAAAAGCATCCATTTTGTTCATCTTCAACCATCTATTCCTTGCAGCCCCCAGCATCCTGTCCTTCACATTGGCTTTTTTAAGCATAAATTGCTCTGTTCAAATTTAGCTCGACCTTACCATGACATTCCCAGTTGCCTTAGGTGCATCTCCAGCTAGCACGATTCACACACTTAAAACTTTCTGATGTATTCTGAATAAAGCATTTGGGCCCCAAGTTGTATTTTTGACAAACAGACTTTCTAAATTTGCTCCTCCTGCTCTGATTGTTTCCAACCACGTTCAACCATGTTTCCTCCTTAGATACAGGTACTGAAGACACTTTTGATCTTGGGGAGAAAGATGCTGCCTGCCCTTTTCTTTGAGATTTTTGTAAACATTGAGTTAAAAATTAAAAACCCTTCATTGTAGCAGAGGCAGACATAAGAGTGGAAGTGAACCAATAAAAAGGTGCAGTGACGGAGCTGAAATACGTTTGCACTCCCTGCGCATCACTCTAGCAGATTAGAGTGCTATCTGGCTTTTACCTTTTGAAAGAACTCAGCTGTTTCCCTGATAAAGTGCGATAATCATACAGAAAGGGACAGGGTTGCAATTTTTTCAAATGACTGCAGAAACTGCAGCGCTGTGCTGAATGAATAACCAGGAGGAAAGAGCACTTCCAAAGTTCAAATTCGTTCTCATGCATTCCCAACTCCCTTCTCACTTACAAGAAGGTAAGTAATAAATAAGAGATGGTAAACTATTTTTATTAACCTGCAGCATTCAAATATCGATGACTAAAACAGCAGCTCCTGGATTTTCACATTTGCATTGGTGAAACCTCCATCTACAGGGTTTCTACCAGGGTTTCCCATTTAGCAGAATTAGCTTATCATCTACCTCCCTGTATTTCCTCTGCTCGCTCACCATAAAAATCACATCTGTTCCACTCAGATCCCATACCCAGTAAAACTGTTTATCTCTTTCCCAGATCACTCATTCATCTGGATGTTCTTTTCCTTTCCTGCCTTCAGCTACCTGATTTTTACCTATTTCTCTTCTTACTCCTCCCTGCTCCAGCTGCTCAGGTAGGTGCTAGACACCTTGACAAAACATGCACAGAGTAATATTTAAACATCATAAGATAGCGTTTATTATGTGTATATATAAAGTTTCCCCTCTCTCCAGTATAACCTCACTTTCTATGAGCCCAAGCCTGCTGTCACAACTCAGTTGCAAGGGAGACTCAAGAGTGATAAAATTCCCCTTTTCCGCAGCGCTAAAGCATGTCCCTCTAGTTGTCCTGGCTCTTTTACATCAGCTCCTTTCAGCAGAGCTTGTTGCAGTCCCTGCTCAGATCCCTGAGATGTTCCTGAGAAGACAGGAATGTTTCTTTCCAAATCAAATGAGCCCGTCAGGCATGGACCTGCTTTAAGATAAGCCAAAAAGCTGCCAGTGCTGGCAGCAGCACCACTTGTCCGCAATGCCTTTTAGAAAAGAGCTTACCTGCTATAAGGACTGCAGGGATGAATCACAAGCAGTTAAAAATACTAATTAGAAAATCACAGAGACTGAAATTGAATCATGGCCATTGGCAAGCAGCAGTAACTAAATGAGTTTATCTCTTGTGTATAAACACAGCTAAGCACAGTGCAAAGCCCAGCCAAGAGTTTCTCTTTGCCTGCCTTACTGCTCACAGCTCTAAAGGAGGTTTAGATAGTGCTGGGGAAACACCACACTTATTACTCCTGCCTTGGAGTGGGTTTAACACTTTATTCTATTAAAATACTTCCAAAGCAGACCCCAAAATAAGATGAAGTGCTCATCTGGAGCACAGGTGGTTAACATTTTGCACATCCTGAAATGTACTCACGTTCTAGCCCACATGTCCAGCTCTTCATCCAAGTAAGTTTTAACTTTTTTAGGCTCGAGCCCAAGAGAATTCCCAGCAAAGTATACACAGCTCTCGTCGCCATTCACCAGGCTCAGATCAGCTGCAGAGGAAAACCACAGAAAACACATACATGTGAATGCATGCAGGAGAGCTGGGGGAAGTAGTTGTCCATGAGCACTAACATCATGAGAAGGGAGACTCAGGAGGTGCAATATCCTCACCTCCCTCCTGGGACACCATACAAGTGACCCTGATCAAGGGTCTAAGGATGAAGACAGTAGGGTAATTTGCAAGTGGTTATTGCCCAGCCCTTCTGCAATCTGTGGCCAAGTCCACCTATGTCTGTTTTGGAGCTGAAGTGACTTCAGACAGCATTAAACCCTGGAGCTATATGGGAGCAGCCACCAGTTTTGCCCCCAAAACAAGTGAAGGGGAAGCATATTCCAGACAAGGCTATCCACTTTTCTTCCATCGTCAATATATTCATATTCCAAGTCATGAAACTACTGGAGTCATACATTTAATAAAAGTTAAGACCAGGAAAATCTGTGTCTTTCTTCCAAGTCCTACCTGCCTCATTAAATCACTGTTTAGAAAAAAAGGTAAGCATTGCACAGAATATTTTAAGAAAGTCAAAAGTTCTTGTCTTGTCAGCATATATTGTGGGCTGCACGTCACATCATCATCTATGACAAGGAGGGGGAAATCTATGTTGACAAATCCTTTCAACGATTAGGAGAAAAGCAAGGCCCTGGAAACTTATAAATAATAGCTCTAGTGAGGTTCTGAACAATTTAATTACCCTATGTCATCATCTATCAATCCAAATATTGCCTTTTTCTATTATTTCTCATGTTAGAGATTCTTGAAGGGACAAATGATTGTGACCTTCCAGAAGTGCTAAACAATTTGCATTCATCTATACTGCACTTAAAGTACCCAAAGAGTTGATATGTATTTTTAGTAAACATTGTTGATATGCCCCAACAGAAAGAGCAAATGAATACCTTAAGATACACGCTAGAAACAAATTGTAAGATTGCATTTTCTTCTGAGAGAGTTTGTTAGGACTGTAGAAAAATAGATTAGATGCCTGGAAAAGGTCTCTTACTACCTTTTACACTAACAATTACTAACTTCATTAAACTTCACCAGAAACACATTTTTCAGAAGTATAGACAACTTAGGTAATTTCTTAATTAAAGCTTTAGAAGCTTTTAGAAAGCATAAGTCAGAGAGCAATTTCAGTCTAATCTGTTTTACAGACAGTATGTCTGTTTTTCATCTGTATTCTAATATGAATGAAAACAGAAAAGTATATTATCCCTGCTCCTAAATGGGTTCTACTAACAATTCTTTTGCTATCAAAAAAGACAACAATAGTATCACTGGGAATACAGAGAAAGATCTTTGCTCAGGAATTCAGAGCTGTAAATCTCACTAATACTCTTTAAATTCCAATCAAGTATTAAAACAGGTAATTAATTATAAGCAAATTAGCTTTTTCTTTGCCACTGTCCTCTCTAAATAAAAGTGCCTATTGGGTCACCGTTGCAGAAAGCCAGCAATGCCTTTTTGACAAAAGGTATTTTTCTACTTTTATATCTATTACTTTGGATATATATTTTTTTTGTCATGTTATCAGCTCTGTATTGGGCTGTACTCTTTTTCCACAAAATGATGTTTATTTCCCCCTCTCTGACATTACTAAAAGACTCATTTTAGACCACTGTTGCTACTCAAACGACACTTTTTTAGTACCATCTTCATCATTTCACAGTCTGCCCAGACCAACACGTTTATGCTCTAACATTTCCTCTCTTTGTTATACTCTTTACAGTCTGGCATTAGTATTCTTAGACTACCAGTTATCTATCTGCAACTTACTCTGTCCTCATTCCTCATAGTACTGGCCCTTCTATTGCTGGAGGAGCTAGAGTAACATATTGAGATGTTCACAACCAGTAGGAAATAAGCACAGCTGGTAAAATACGGGCTGGTGCAGAACAGTAACAAAAGTTTATTATTGAAATGTGTCCTTAGAGCAGCCTAAACAAAAATGCGTGAACAATAATTTACATTAATTAGATAAATGGTTTTCACACCTGGTCAGATCTAATGACCTATATTATTTTGCATACTAAGTATACCCATTGCTCTACATTACACTTGGAGATGTGCTTCCAGGCCTCTTAAACCTCCAAAAAGAACATGTTTTTTCCAAAAATATTCAATGCAAACAAAAGGGAAAGATAGTGTGTCTTTATTGACCAGAAAGGAGGGCCTGCATCTGCTTATATATTACCCAAGTCCTGCTACTTGTCGAAGGTTACAAGATCCTGTCTTTCCCACCTCCCTACGCCCCCACCCCAAAGCCCTTCAAACAAAGAGCCAGATTTCTTAGACTGACGTGAACTTTAACCATTTCTGCAGGGAAATACAGTTCAACACTTTCACCCTGGGACATCTTTTTATTCTAAAGAAAATAATGCTGTAATGTTTTACAGGATTGGGGGGGGGGAGGGGAAGAGGGGAGGAGGAGAAAAAACTACACACAGAGAACACACACACAAGCAATAGCCTTAGCCAGTTTGGTGATTTGGAGCCTGACTGCCAGCTACAAGCCACCACTCCACCTCCCTCATTCCCTCCCCTCCACCCCCCCACAAAAGCAGTAGCATTAACAGCACTTCATTGGCAGCACCGAGGAGAGCGAGGAAATGTGAACATTTCTGAAAATCTTCTACTGTCATCCTTCCCCCTTGCTCACCTGAGCCTCATCTCTCAAGCTTGCCCACGGCATCGCAGAAGGATTTGCCACGGAATTAGTCTGCTCAAGGGTTTCACTTGATTGATGCAACAAATAAACTTTGCAAACAGCTGTTACAGTCTAGGTTGATAGCCAAATTTAACTATTATGGGTTTTTATTTTTTATGTACATAATCTTATACTTGTCTCCTACAGGTATTTTCATCTGCTTCATGTAAGGCTACATTTTAAAAAGGCATTGTAGTGTTTTATGTAAATATATAAAGAATATTTGATGGCTAATCTCTAATGACATTTATCTTCAGAAACACGTTATCTAGGATCCGCTCCTGGGCTAAGATAAATGTCATGGGAGATCAGTCTCTATGGTATACACAATGTAAATATATATATATATATATATTTACCCCCTGCTGTTTTGCAGCAGGGAAGCTGTTTCTGATGACAGTTGAAGCAAGGAAAAGAAAGGCAGGGGAAAAAGAAGAGGAAACAAAGAAAAACTTCTCAATTTGGGAGCACAAGAGTGATGGTTTCTCTACACTGTTCAACCTGTACTATTATGTAGGTAGCTTATCTTCACTAAAACATATATATCCACATCCTTCTAAATATTCTAAATATTTAATAGTCTAAATACTATAGTTACTGAAAACAACACACATGCATAGCCTTTGGGTCTGAATATTATGGTAACTGAAGAACAAAAATATAATAGAGGTTGGAAAGAAAGCAATGGATATGGTCACAAGGGTATCAAAACCAGGAAAAATGCAGACATACACACACATGCAGTGATATGCTGCTTTCAAAGATGGGCTGCAGGGCCAACACCCTGCTTGAGCTGGATCTTAATGGAGTAGCTAGAATAACCGTGGCAGCACAGAGGCCAGCGTGAGCTACCCATCACCTATCACCCAGCACCCGCCAGTGTGGTGCTGGCCCTTGGCACTGGAGACAGCTGAGCAACCCCACGCCAGCAGCAGGACTTGCACACCCAAATGAACAGAGGGACATCAGAAAAGCCACCTGAAGCCACCAGGAAAAGTCACGTCCTCTACATGGGGGAAGTACTTAGATTAAGTATCCTCAATGTGTCCAGTCCTGTTCCAAATAATACAAACAGCAACACTTAAGGATGTGAACGAGAGGAAGAGTGAACCAACATCATCCATACATAGAGAATCAAGATTTATCACGTTGGTGTCCTACATACATAAGTAGACTATGCTACCAACATTCGTCACTGCTTGGGAGGAAGATAGCCAAGGTAAAAATACTTTCAAAAACATCCAGGATTTCAGATGTTAGTCACTGCTCTGTCATGAATCTTTATCAAACAATTCAGACACTACACCTGCAGTTCCTGATGTACCACCAGTATTACCCTTTTCAAAAAATGGGCAGAAAGTTATTTCTATACCTATTGGAAGATGAAAACATTTTGCAGAAAGTTCTATCAAAGAGAAGCTGATATTATTTTTCCCCCTTATTAATTTTTAATAGATATTTCCTGATAAGGAGAGAAAGCTGGAAACTGATTACTCCTCACAAGTTTACTACCTAAGGAAATAGTATGACATTCCTTCAGCTTCCAGCATGCCAGGATAAGGGCCTTCAGCATGGCCCCAGGTTTGGGGCCCTGCTCCATACGCACTGGAGTGAAGAAAGTTCTTCAACAAAACCAGAACACAGGTCACAGGCTCTTCCCCCCCCTCCCCCAAAAAAAAAAGAAAAAAGAAAAAAACAAACAAGCAAGCTATGGACTGAGAATGAGGCAGAGAACTTGGAGAATCATTTGTGCATAGCTACATTTAAGCCATGTGTGGTTATCTATCAATTTAAGACATCAATAAGAAGCGGGGGGGGGGGGGGGGGGGGGGAAATCTTCAAATAACAGTTTCATTTTGAATTATTTGCTCAGATCAATTATTTGTTCCAAGGCATAGTCCTACATTAGGCCTCAAGAAGAAAGTAATCTCTGCTACTAGCAATAAGACATAAATGTTAATATAATATATCTGCTATCTCTTTCATTAACTAAAATAATTGTAACTAGATAGATAATACCAAACTGTATTACACTGAAGAAGCAACTGCTCCAAATTAAGTTCGTAGCGACATTGCAGTTTCGAACCATTAGATAGAAACACTTTTGCCTATAATTTTCAATCAGTCACTATATTGTTCAAAGCAGCTGACTGACAGCATAAGCACCACATAAAGTACTGCATCCTCACATTTTATTCAGGATGGGAATGAGAGCATAAAGCTTTTGGTACTCAAATAAGTTGATGGATTGATTTAGCAACACCAGGGACATGCTGTGCTCCGATACGACTGCAATTGCTCAATTATCTCATAAGTGACAGTGATTTCCAAAGATTTGTGATAAGCATATGCAGAAGACAGGACCCCCCTCCCCTTCTCTCCCCCCCCCCCCCCACTTATAATCCTCACTTGGAGGCAGATCCTTGACTTTTGGGATGTAGAAACATTCGCGAAGATGCTTTAACTCATCTTCTTCATCTAAGTGAAGAGCGAGTTTCTCATCAGTTGGACTGCACCTGAGCTGCGAGGCCGTTTGCTCCAAAACGGTTGCTGGTAACACAGGAGAAGATGGATCCATATTCAGGTCATTCAATTTCACCTTGAAATGAGAAAGGTCACAGTTTAATTTCTACTGCATGCATATTCACTGGTGGCTGATAAGCAGTTACTAAAGCTGTATTATTCAAGACAAACTTATTTAATTTAAAGCTCTTAAAAATTGAAGTATTTGAATCAAGTGGTAAAACTAATTCATTCAAGTATTTCCAAGGCAACATATCGCTGTAACCCCCAAAGGTAGATTTTTTGCCCCATAGACACAGTGCTGTTCCCTTTTCAAGCTATATCAGCAGCTCCTGAATTTCACCACCAAACTGATAGCAGTTATGGATGCTCAAGTGTCATTCACAATTTTGGGACCTCAAAGCTAAAGGCAACATTATTGTTCCTGCGATCTGTGCTCCAAAGAAGAGCAGGTGCACAGCCTCGCTGAAGTCGTTTTCCCAGGCTGTGCAATGGTCAGACTCTCTGGACTTTTCTTTCTTTATTAAATAGGAGAGAGTGTTTGGGTATATCCGTGCTTGTGTACAAGGGGCAGGGCAGGGAGGGTACAGATGGCAGACAGAGCCCACCCCGCTTTCCAGATCAGGACCTTGAAATATTTCGTTCCAGCTACACCATATACCAAATATCCTGGGTTTTTTAGCTCCATTTGTCCTGGGAAAGGGGAGAAGCACAAGTCAAGCTGCAGACGTGACAGACCATATTTTCTAGAGAACATCCAAAACTGCAACTGCAAAATCTACAAGCTCATGATCTTTATAAGAGAAACAGTTAGATAGCTGTAATGTTCGGAGACACCATTGTGTTCAAAATAGCATTGCTGCAGTTGGCTTTACAGATCTATTGGCAAAGAATACTTACAGCTTAGACTCTGTACTTTAGGACAAAACTTTGCAATGCTCCCTTGCTGCATACTGTTGTAGACAGCAGCTGGAAGGCTTGATGCTTTCCCTAATTCAGGAATAAGACTATACAATATTCTGTACCTTTTTAACATCCCAAAGCATTTTGGTGCAAATGAATCCCGGGTATTTCTTCTTCTTCTTCCCCATGTGGTTCCATTAAATTCATTCAGCTAGCAAGGAATAGAGCTAATTCGACATCTAAAAATGTGGCGCTGCACTGAATTGACTATCCTGTTCATATAACTTGAGATAAAATACTTCTAAGAGAAATAGAACCATAAGGGGATAGACAGAAATAAGAGATGAGTGTAACAACATGAAGCCTACAGCCACAAGAGAATATAACATTTCCCTCTTCTCTGAGAGGGAAAACCACCTCTCAGTAGACTTTCTTAAAACCAATAGCTTACTACAGATAATTATCCTGAAACAAGCTGTGGTGAGAACAGCTGATTATATGGGCTATAGTCAGCTGAAGAACACATTCACTGCCACTTAACCAATATTAGATTGGTGTAGAAAAGGGGTTCCAACAGTCAACATGCTGTTGTGTTCCAAGTTATAGATATTTTTAAAGATTAAATCCGTAATAACAAGAAATAAAAGCAAATGGGTCCATAAGCATAGATTGCTACATAAGCATAGATTGCTTCCCCCCTCCCACCATCCCCAGACATTGCCAGTTGCTAGAGGTTGGCACAAACAAAAGCCTCATTTACATATACAGGGAGGACAACAGTCAATGCTTAAATATAAACCCCTAAATATCACATCCTTATCAGTGCTAATTAACACAAACTTCTATATTCTTGAGCCAAATGGCCAGCATGATGCTAATTACTACCTGGTCCAATCTGCTAACATTTAGTTTATGTTCCCCTTCTTGCAGATGTCCTGCTTCATTGCTGGTTCCAGGTGGGTTTTTCACACCTCCTCATTGTCACTGAATCAACCATCCCAACTCATTCATCCTCATCACCTCTTCAAAAAAGCAGCAGGAGGAAAAAAAGTAGATATTTGAATATCTTTGGTCTCAGACTGTTTTTTCAAGGTTTCTAGGAGGTAGGTGGCTACAATTAGACAAGCAGGGTTACACTGCAGAACCAGCTCAGCCAAGAGGAATCAGAATGTCCACCCGATCACCTCCTGGGAGGCTGCCACCTCTGATGAGCCTTGCTGCCGCTATAACAAAGCTGCCTATTCCCTGGGAAACGGCTGTCAGCTCCTGTTCTGGGGCAGTGGTAACATCTGCACCACTCTTATGTCAGTCAGAAGAGCATTAATCTTCTGGACCCATTTGACAATCACCAAGGAAGATGGCTTAGAGATCTCTATTTCCTCCAATAAATGTTGTGAAACTTCTAGAAAAGTGAGGTCCACAGACACTGAGCACATCAACAATATTCTAAAGTCACCGTAAGGTAACACAGGTTTCACTTCTTCAAATTACACCTTCTTACGCATTTTACAAATACACAATACAAATTCCACATCCATGGACTTAACCAGTAAAAGTCAGAGCTTATTTCCAAGCAATCTTGGAATCAGAACTTGCAAATTACAATTACCTCTCATTTCCATATGCTTCCTCCTCTGATTTACAACACTACCACAGAAGGCCCAGTCCAATAAGGCATTAGAAAGCATGCTACGTCTTCTGTTCCTGTGTTTTATCTAATGGCTATTTAATATAAACTATGGAAACAATCTTCAGAGAGAGGATTGGAAATCAGATCTCCCCAGTCATCTGCTTCCCTTGGGCTCCACACTCCGCCCCAGGCGTCCAGTCCCTACTGCACAGGCTCTACTGCATCAACATTGTCATCCCCCATGGCCTTTACTGGCTACAGCCTTTAAGGAAGGTTCAAGAGTCTCCTACAGCTTCACCAGTTAGCCCCAGAGGCCAGCACAGGCAATGCCAGCTAACATCCTTGCAATTTATGACCAGAAGGTGCTTGAAGGCTGCTTTGGCACACACTAGATCCCTCTCGTTTGGGCTGTAAGTTCTTCACTTTACATCATATGAGCACAGTGCAGCATCCTGCCACTTGACTTACTACTCCCCATTTTTCAGTAAGGACACAGTTATTATACTGGATTAATGACTATCATATTCCAGGTCATCAGCTGACCTGTCTGGCAAGCACAGATGGTTTTTTTTCCATTTGAGGCCTGACCCAAAACCCACTGAAGTCACTAAGTGTCTTTATTACACACAGATTTCTGGATCAGGCTTTTGGTTGCTTGTCGCTGCTGTGTTTTTCTCCATCTGATCAATGACTTTCCTTTATTATGATTCTTATTTATATTGCATTTTGACAGCAAATATTAAATATAAAGATCTAGAAGCTAAAAATGATTAAGTGCTCAGAGGTATCTGATTTAATACAAACATTATGAAATAAGATAAAGCTACTAAAATAAAATCAATCAAAATCCTATTGAGGAATGAAATCCCAGAGATCCATTTCTGAGGTCAGAATAAGAAAGTACTTTTGTCCTTAGAATGGGAATTAGGCTTCATACAGATGAAAAAACAGATTTTTTTTTTAATCTTTATAGCTGACATCATGGCATTCTCCAGTTGCTACAGAATGGAGTCCCATGCAATTATTTCACAATAATTTATGAGTTATTTGTTACTTTCTACATGGAGAGAAATACATCTGTATGAGATCAAAACAACTTTATTTCGCCCATTATCTTCATTTAACTGCTAAGCATATTCTGTATCCTCTCCAAATTAAAATTCAGACCATCAATGCCAAATGTTCTTCCTACCCTGATAAACATGGTTTCTTATCAGGATTTTTTCCATACAGCTCAGAGTAAAAGTAATCAACATGTTAAGAGAAACACCTGGCCCCCCTTCCTCCTCTGAAGAGGAAGAATAAAAATTTAAAAAAGCATTCAGCTGTTTTCTTCCTTTCCCTGAAATTTCCTGACGCTGTTTGCCTTTACAGATGGCGCAAAGTCAACATTTTATTCGATGCTTCCTTTACCCTTGGCAACATCTTCACCGCATTCCCTCTCCCAGGTTTGTTCGTCTCCCCAGCACATCACTTTTCTGCTACTACTCCCCTCACCTGGCTGCTCCCAGCCACGAGCCCGCTCCCGCTCCCCTCTCACCCGGTCCCCATTTCGCTCCCCCCTGCACTCCCCACCTCCCGGCACCTGCACCGATGTGATGCTAAGAGCTCCCCAACAACCATGGGCAACCTCCCATTTTCAAAAAGGGCACACATGACCAGGCTGGAAAATGGTCGTTATTACACATTTTATCAGCACAAATACCAATGCAACTACTTCGCCCCTCGTTTTAAAACTATGAAAGACGACTGATGAGAAAGTCAGATGCAAGTGACACTGATGTCTGGGCAACTATTCCTGTTTTGTCCTTTATGCATAATTTACTGACTAAATAGGAAAAAGTGTGTGAATATTAACAAGCCATCTTATCAAACCTACACAGAAAGGTCCATTAGGTTTAATTATAAGAATGATAATCTGAACTATTTTTAGATACACTTATGATGTTTTTATAGAGCTGATCTCTACCTAAAATTGTATCATGATGCCTTTATTTAAAGAAAAAAAGGCAGTAAAGACCCCTCATCCCCTTTTAAACATTTTCCTTAAATAATCTAAGATTTTTACTCACAGTCCTTCTACCCAACACAGTGCTGACACAGGCATACAATGACTCTCTGCTCAAAAGCTGTATCAATATCTTCAGGGGAAGAAAAAAGTGTTTATCATGAAAATAACATGTCCTGCACTTTCTGCCTTCCAATAGCTCTTTACCAGGTTGCTAAACACGGCTCAGCCCACAGACCTTTGACATTTTCAGGTGCCTGTTCAAATGAGCTCTCCGGAGAACGGGAGGGGGGTGCATGCAAACCTGGAAATGCACGTTCACAGTATAGGTCTAGGCTGTGAAAATACACCCACTGAAAGCACCAATAGTGCTGGCGGGCTGAAACGATTTTAGAAACAAACATAGAAAACCTGCAGAGTTGCACACAGCATAAAGGCTGATTCTCCTACCAATCTTTAAGCGAGTAAAATTGCTTTTGTGAAAACCATTTTGCAGAAGGAACTTAATTAAAAATAATTAACCCCCCCCCCCCAAGAGCAGCACACACAAAATTTACTTCAGGTTAAATACACTTCAGTGAATTTGTTTAAATTACGGTAGTGTAGGGAGAGAAAAAACTCTCCCTGTTCACAGCCTACCCAACACAACAGACACCCAGCATCAAACACAACTGTATAATTGAGTGAGTTACGCAGCAGAGCGGCACAGCTGCAGCGGGGCAACATGACAGAGCAGAACTGTAATAAACTCCGTTACTTAGAGCAATTTAGGCACATGTGGACCTTAGCGTCAAGAAGGGATTCAGTGTTAAAAGTCATTTTACATATAAAACTCATCTTTCCCCTCTGCAGCAAAACCACGTTACCCTGCAGTTGCCAGCGGCTCCAGAGAACGAGGAAATTCTTGTGTGCAAACACTCAGCGTAGCGTTAAGAAATAGCGACAGTCACGTGTCTGCTCTTGCAGACTCTGACCCAAACAGTGACTCAACACGTGACCCTTGTTAACCAAAAGCCCTATTTATTTTTTTTCTTTGTCATCCTAGACTAATTAAATGCTCTGCTTAAATTAAGAATGCGTCTTTCTCCTACAGAGGTGCTGGAATGGGACCGCAGTCAATTGCGGTGAAAGTGGTTTTGAACCAAACTATTTAGCCTCGGCATGAAGGGAAACAGGTAGAAACATCAATAGACACAGCAGAGCCAGCTCTGCAGAGCTCTCATGGTCAGCAGCAACCTAGTAAGTGCCCCAAGATAAATATCTCTAATTGGTTAACAAGGGGATAAGAATTAGACACAGCAACAAGGCAAGTTAAATCAGAGGGAATAAAAGAGAAAAGTGAAGAAATGGATCAATAACAACAGAACACCTAATGTCAATGTTAGCAACAACAGTAAACCGCATAGCAGATGGAGCAGCTGGAATTTGCATGAAGCATGGATTTAGCAAGGTGGGAAAGAGAAGAATTAAAGAATAGAGTTCATACTCCCTCCTTCACTCTCCCATAAACATCATCTCATACCACCCATGCAGTCTTTTGTCTGCTCCATCCCCTGCATGCGCCTCCAAGCTAGGCCCATTCCTACACACGCAGCATATAGTCGTCTGAAAGCAATAACAGTAATTTCATTTTGTCTCTATTCAGCCTACAAAGCATCAGGGAAAAAAAAAAAAAAAAACACGCTACAGCAAGGGGAGATGAATGGGCAAAGAGTTCCAAGTTGCAACCCTAAATTAAATTGTTAGCCCATGTTCCCAGCCCGGGTCTCTGCATGCAAAGAATCCCACATTAATGCTTGTTTAAAATCAGGATTGTCAAATATTTTGACACTTACTAAAAATAGAAATCCACAACTGAAACATTTCATTTTCATCGCTTTCGTCATTTCAGGAGTAAGAGCAATGAATTTTGCTTTAAGTCAATATTAGTGTCTATTCCCCAGTTCATGTAGTACTCATACCTTGTTTTGTGCTGCAAAATGACTTTTTTTTGATTTCCACTGTCTTGTTCACTTTCTTGTTCCCCATGGGAAACCTGGGTGACTGCTCGAGAGACAGAGCCACCAGGATTTCAGACCAAGAAGGAATTGCTGAGGCACTTCAGCCACTAAGGCAAGAAAGATCCAACATCAAACTTGCCCAAAACAGGTACTTTCTTCTTTGGTTCTCTGCTCACATTAAATCAAACCGAAACACAATGTCACATTTCAGTGTGCTCTTGGAAAGAAAAACACAAAAATACTAAACTGTAGGTTTTCCCACTGCATTTTCTTTTCCAAAAGCATCTTGAGTTTTGTCCTGGATTGTCAATGGCAGCAGAAAAGCAGCTGTGTTGGCAAAGGCAGACCATCTTTTTAATGCCTTTTTGTGACAGTAGGAATTTTGACCCCTTCTTCCCAGCTATTCTTCTCTCCTCTTTGGATGGGATGAAACAGAAACAAAGACAAAACCTTTGCCCTTGAGGCCAAGGCTTAAAATGAGCCACTGTCTCTCACAGGTGATTTTTCTGGCTGCAGTACTAACCTGATGGTCTTTCCCCCCCGCCCCGTGATGCTGCTAAGCAAGCAGAGGGCAGGAGGGAGGCATCACCAACAATGACAAAGCCAACTCGAGCAGGACAGCCCAAGGAGAAGGCAGAAAACCCACCAGGGGTTTTCGACCCTCTTGTAGGAGCAGCCAGGAGAGCACAGGGAAAGCAATGACAGTCAACAATTCAGCAAAGGAATAGAATACGTAAATAAATAATAAAAATATAAATAAGGTAATAAATAAAGGCTTGCAGCTTTGTGGGAAGAAGAGCTCAGCATGCCTAGGTAGCTCAGGGTTGTATGAGGAATGCATGGGGGAGAGAGAATTAAGAGGCCATAAAGGAAAGCACATTTCTCATACAAGCAGCTTTTCAAAATCAGCCTGAGGTGCTTAACAGCACTAAAGCGAGTACTGCAAGACCAGGCCACGCGCGTGCTATGACACAGTTTCATCTCTTCTCAAGTGTGTGCTGTCGCCTCCTACCATTTGTCACCACTGCCCCAGGCTCACCAGAGCACATTCAAGCCCCAGTAAAGGCAACTGTGTTCCCTTACAGGGGGATACCATATGACTTGTACCAGAGGAACATCAATAAAACCTCACATTGAATTTGTTTGCTACCCTAGTAAAACACATACTTCCTTCTCCAAACACACAATAAAAATAAATAACCAAGCATGCCCTGTAGCACATCTACCCCCTGCTAGATGGGCTGCAAGGACACGCAGCTCATCAGGTCAGCAAGCCTTGCTTTGATACTGCTGTCCCCAAGCGTTCCCACTGTCAAGAGGGTAAAGCAATCTAGCAAAACATGAAGGATTCTCTTTAACCATAAGGCAAGGACAAGATGGCCTAGAAAGCAGGAAAACATTGCAGTTTCTACCCCAAGAAAAGAAAGGGTAACGCAGGGATGTGTCCAAACAGCACACAACCACACCTGTGGCACAGAGCTTGGGTCTGTGCACAGCTGCTTGGAAAAACAAAAACTGTCCATAGTGATGAGGCAAGCCCCACAACTATTTTCAAAGCATGCAACCTGTATGTTTCACCCAGTGACAGCATGATGTGCTTTACCTCAGGCCTCATTTCACCCAGTGACAGCAGCATGATGTGCTTTACCTCAGGCCTCAGAATAAGACCTGGCAACCAACAGCATAAAACCTTCAGTCTCCTCTCCACTGAGCTTGCTAGTCTCACCTTATTATTCCTTTCACTTGCTTCCCTTCCCCCATCCCCTAAACCTTCTGCTTTGCCTGAAAAGCCTGCCTTCCTCCTCAAGGCACGTTTAAATCCCAGTAGGTCAGGATGCCGTACACCTGCGCTCACTTATCTCTTCCTCCTCCCTTCCAGACCTTAAAGAGCTCCGTGCTCCTCCTCGAAGGGGTCAGGAGTGCAGACACATGTTTTGCCTGTTTGTGTCCCTCTGGTTATCTGCTACTAATGTCGGGTCTGGTTCAGACTGAAAAAGTGGTCCCAGTCTCTCAGTCTCTTTTCCCTGTATAAAACTGCCTCCTTTCTCCCTACAGTTATGATCCAGGTTTTGGTTTACAGAGCAGGGAGCAGTAGCTCTTTTTAAATTATTTGTTGCCTTTTGGGTGGCCAAAGTGAGCTTCTAAAATCTTCTTGCTTGTCTGATGCGCTCTTCCCATATTTTCTTTTTAGTTGGACTCCTAGACACACCTCCTTAGATACAAATGTATTTTCCACCATTATGTGACCTTTTCCTAATCTTTTCTTCATGCTCTATATCAGTGATCATTTTCATTTCTTTCTGACTCTTTAAACACAGTATTTGTCCTTTAAGATCTATTTTTAAAGTGTACTATTTATGAAAAAATGAATATAAATAAGAAAATATTTCCTTTTCTGCAGTAACATTTAGAGACAAATATTCCAGCACTCCACTACCACTAGAAATACCAAGAGTGGGACAGTAGGGGACTGTGGGTCTAATGATTTCCAGGTAAGGAAAAACAAGAACAGTAAGCCCCCCTGGCTCTTAGATGTAGTTTCTGATAACTCCATGGTATCTGTGACAGCAATAGAACATTTTTGTATAGATGAAACTTCCATGTGTCTCGTAAAGTTAGCTGCTACTAATAAAAGACTATTGGCTTTCTGATGTCCTCCATCCACACTTCCAGAAGGAACACACCTACACATATATTTTAAAAACCTCTTGCTATAAGGAATGGCTTATCACTATTTTTTAGTTTAATGTTTTGCACGCAATAGGACCCTTTTTTTTTCCCTCCTCTGGTCAAATATAGGTTGCATATTTTACTGATTGAAAAGCCTAATCATCAGCCTCAGTATGGCTTTTTATAAGTTCTGAGCTAATAATGAAATATTAGATTATCTAGCTGAAGTTTTTGTATATCATATAACTACCATATTTTATTCCTCTCTTTAGCTTTGGCTAAGCATAGCTTCTGGTTTTGAAGACAAGAAAAAATTACATGAATCTATCACTTTTCTTATTTACATATTCTGTGTGCTCCGTATGCATTTTAGGTTGATTTACACGGACTTTCCTTCCAGGGAGCAGTGAAATTCTGTGGTTAAAGACCATAGAAGAGAAGTATTTTGTTTTTGCAAATCAGAGATCCTCAAAGCATGGTCAGACAGCAGGATGAAAATAGTGGCACGTGCAGCAATCTTGGTAAACAGTTCACTAAAACCA